TTCATAGCAGTCCTGGAAAATGTTACTATAACAAGAGCCTGAGAAACATACAAGCAGCTGCATCTTTTTGGTTTGTTTATTTTTTTTTAAACGATCAAAATATGTACATGTATTCATCTTTCTAGAGCTGTTATTTTGCCAGCCAGGCAGTTTGATTTCTGGGATAAAGTTGAAGATCTCAAAAGCATGTGATTCAGGCCAGGTGTGGTTGCCTGTAATTCCAGTACTTCGGGAGGCTGAGGTGGGTCGATCACAAGATCAAGAGATCGAGACCATCCTGGCCAACATGGTGAAGCCCTGTCTTTAACTAAAAATACAAAAATTAGCTGGGCATGGTGGCATGTGCCTGTAGTCCCAGATACTTGGGAGGCTGAGACAAGAGAACCGCTTGAAGCCAGGAGGTGGAGGTTGCGGTGAACCGAGATCACGCCATTGCACTCCAGCCTGGTGAAAGAGGGAGACCCTTTCTCAAAAAAAAAAAAAAAAAAAAGCATGTAATTCAGTTTTGTTTTTATAATTTCAAGAAATTAATATAGGATTCTATTAACGTACAAAATGAGAAGAGCTACCATACTGTAGCTGGAAATGAATTCAGAGCAAGATGCTAATCAAATTAAAGAACTATATAGACTTGTTGAAAATGGAGAGTGCTATAAATTAACACCACCTGTAAGCCCATCACTGTATATGCAGAAAGCAATGAAATTGTCAAGAAATTCTAGGAAAATACACCTTCCACTTAAAGACAACTTCAAATGAAAACTTTACTGCCTAGATTTAGAATCTGAACATTTATTTTGCAAGTATGAGGTTTAAGTAGGAATGTACTTGTGTTGGGAGAGATTTTTAATTCATTGAAAAAGAGCAAGCAAAGGCTGTCTTGTTTCAGATCCAGTTCACAAATATTCACTGGTGTGGTAGCCTGCTGGGAGTGTGGTGGGAAATACAGAATTCCTGCTGTCAAGGAGATTATATGGTAATTGGGGAGATAAGAAGCACACAACACATGACTACAAGGCAAAGTAACATGGTAGGAGGGGCAGGAAAAGGGAGAGCAAAATTAAAAAGAAGCTTAAAGGAGGATGCCAGAGGATTTGTGAAAGAGGTTTTGTTGTAGACCTTAAGTGATGGATTATTATAGTAAAATATGGACACGGCTGGGAAACAGCTATGGTTGGAAAGTGCAAACAGGGGGAGAACCTCTGTGGTCTATGAGTAAACCGGTATCTTCTCTCTGTGTTCATGAGAAACCCCACGCTCACATTTATTGCACATTTATTACAGATTATAATGGTCTGTTCATCACCCTCAAGAGACTACAGTTTCCCAATGGTTAATTAAAATACAGTCAGTCTTCATTATTTGCAGATTCTGAGTTGATGAATTCATGTAGTCTCTAAACTTTATTTATTGCCCCCAAATCAATACTCACATCACTTGCACTGTCATTCCTGGACACAGGTAGAGCAGGGACACATTTCGAGTCACCTGGTGCACATGTTCTCCGCTGAAGTCCAAAAAGGTGACATTCTGACCTTTCATTCCAGCTCTCACACTGCGAACAGGTCGTCCATTTGGCAGTCTGTTTAGTGACATGTTTTTCACGGTTTGTGCTCTGGGATGGTGATTTTGCTGTTTTAATATGGTCCCTAAGCATAGTACTGACGTGCTGCCCAGTGTTCCTAAGTGCAGGAAGGTTGTGATGTTACTTTTGGAAAAAATCTGTGTATTCTCTAAACGCCATTCAGGCACAAGTTATAGAACTATTGGCTGTAAGTCCAATATTCATGATTGAACAACCTATATTAAATAAGGTTTAAGGTGTCTTTAAAGATTCTGACCAGAGGCTCACAGAAACTCACTTTATATTTCCCCTGGGAGAGCGGTTCAGTATTTGTTCATCTAAGGTTTGCAGTGACTTGATAGAACATAACTTCCCCTGGTGAGAATTGACTGTATCTGTTTTTCTTTGATTGATTGATTGACTGATTGATTGAGACAAAGTCTGGCTCTGTCATTCAGGCTGGAGTGCAGTGGCACAATCTCTGCTTACTGTAACCTCTGCTTTCTGGGCTCAAGCCATCCTCCTGCCTCAGCCTCCCAAGTAGCTGAGATTAGAGGCGTGTGCCATCATACCTGGCTAATTTTTCTGTCTTTTTTTTTTTTTTTTTTTTTTTTGTAGAGACAGGATCCTTTGTTGCCTGGGCTAGTCTCAAACTCCTGAACTCATGCAATCCACCTACTTTGGCCTCCCAAAGTGCTAGGATTACAGGCATGAGCCACTGTGCCCGGCCCAAGTGTATCTGTTATTTGTATCTGTGTGCCTAGTACTTAGTGTTTAGTAGATAGTCAAGGAGTCTTATAAGAAATTCCAGCTCCCTAAAAAATTTAAATACCGAGCTCTTGAATTGCAGGTTTAATACCATGAAGGCAACAGGAAGCCACTGGAGAATTTTTTCCCTAGGAATGCTCTTTGGGTTGTGAATTGTTTAACAAGTCTGACTGAATGTGCTAGCTAGTGTCATGAACAGAATGAATATCCCTGGCACTCTGCTCTCAAGGAGTCACTGCAGAAACTCTAAAAGTGTCTTTGGGAAGATTAATTTTGCAGGGATTTGTAAAATGGATTGAAATTGAGAAAAATTTAAGACACAAAACGAAGTTATGCACCCACGCAACGATCTTGATATTAAATGGTAAAGACTGGGATTTGGGTGCCAAAATAGAAAACAGGGAAATGGACAGATATTTGAGTTATTGTGAAGTAAAAATCAGTGATAAATGAGTTCATGCAGGGCACAAGGGAGACGGAAGGGATAAAGTTTAACTCTGAAGTTTACTACTCCTGAGTTTGTTGGTTCTTAGGTTTGCAAATTTTTTTCAGTCATGTTCTCCTCATAGGAAGTTATCACTTTGTACTGTTCTGAGTTGTTTTTTTGTTTTGTTTTTTTGAGATGGAGTCTCACTCTGTTACCTAGGCTAGAGTGCAGTGGTGTGATCTCAGCCTACTTCAACCTCCACCTCCCAGGTTCAAGCGATTCTCCTGCCTCAGCCTCCTGAGTATCTGGGACTACAGGCACATGCCACCATGCCTGACTAATTTTTGTAGAATCAGGATTTTACCACACTGGCCAGACTGGTCTTGAACTTCTGACCTCAAGTGAACTGCCTGCCTTGGCCTCCCAAAGTGTTGGTATTACAGGTGTGAGTCACTGCACCCTGCCTCTGAGTCTTCTTTTAAGACACCAGTAATGGGATCAAAATCTTCACTCATTATAACTAAGTTATATTCTATCTGTGGCTCACTGATGAATTGCCTAGGGTTTGGGTGGAAATGGGAAATGATAGATCTAGTTTTACAATTATAATGAATTTTTATAGTTAATTGTGAAATTTTGTCTAGAACTTGTTTTAAAGTTAATTGTGAAATTTTGTCCAAGATTGAATGATCATATTTTTTATTGCAAATTTGTGCCATCCAAATGACTTCCACTATAATGATGAGTTATTTCTGGCCAGCAGTATACAGTTAAATATTACTAATGCCAAATTTGCTGCGAAATTGCAAGAAGATAGGGCAGACTATTATTCACTATTGCTCATTGTGAAATTTTATGTGAAAAAAAACAGAGGCTCAGAGATTGGCATTAGTTATATTTTAAGTAGCATATGGAAGGCAATATGCCTTTTTAATTTAAACTTGAAAAGCAAATCCTTCATTGTGAAGTGCCAGTATGTTTCTTTAGAGTTTCCATAAATTGAGAAATAAAACTTTGTTTTCTCTCAGCATGGTATGAAAGTTTAAGGTTTGAAGACCTATTTACTTAAGATTTGCTTTAAAATACTTTTTATGGGTATTTTTTTCTTATTAGAAGTCCTTTTTTAGAGAGTTTTTATCCTGATATAGGCTATCTGTATCACCATTTTTTTTTCAATGCCCTTTCAACATCACCAATTTTGTAAGATTATGCAAAACTGATATCCTACTTGAAAACTTTGGAATAATACATTTTCCCCACTGGTAAACTCATCTAAGATAATCAAGACATGTAGATGTTTTTATGTCAATTTTCAAGGAAGAATTTGAACGGCATTTTAAGCTTGTATTTATTCTATCTGTGGCTTAATACTACATGTGTTTAATTCAACTTGAGATTAAAAAAATCAAAGGAATTTTGATGGCCTTTATCTTTTTTCATCTGCTTTGAGTTTAATATACCTTTCTGAAGAAAGCCATGTTTGTAAAGGTTATTAAATTTTGTTTGGCCTTCTTCTCCACTGTGAGTACCCAGTGGACCTTACTGCGAGGTTATGCTCCTGGACTGACTGATATATAAACAGAAGACAGATGGCATAGAGATGGCTCTGATGATAATTCATTTTTCAGCTAGTCATGAAGATATTTTGATTACAGTGTGTTTAAGTAATTATAACACAGTCTGCAATGTTAGTCTTGCTGGGAAGGCTGCACATGGAAAACAAGTTACGTGTTATTCATGCCCAACAAAGGATGCACTGTGGTGTAATGATTTTAATTCCTAATGCTAGATTAGGACTGAAAGCGTTTAAAGTATGTCATACAGTAAGGTAAGTCAATTAAACATAGACCAAATAAAAAAGGGAACTGCACAGTTTTGAGGCATAAATATTTGTTTTGGAAAGTATTTAGATGTTACTATATGAAAGAAACCAGTATTTTTACATTTAGGTAACAGTCTGCGTACAGCTAATTAAAAATTACATGGCTTGATTTTCAGTTTATGTGAATCGCAATCATCATGCAGCTTGTTTTCTGTGTCATGGATTTAAAACTGAAATCAGAGGGCTGACAATTCAACAGCATGTTACCTCCCTAATGTTGTTGAAGTTTTGAAAAAAAAAAAAAAAACTAAGCAAAATATCAAAAGGAGAAAAAAGAATTGTGTAAATAAGTGGATCATTAAAATGTTTGTCTTCACACACTAATGACAGTTTGTATCATGATTTTGGGCCCCACACAGGATCATTGATCGCTTAGATGGAGTTCGTTTGTTGTGGTCCTTGCTGAAAAATCCTCACCCAGACGTGAAGGCCAGCGCAGCGTGGGCACTTTGTCCATGCATCGAAAATGCCAAGGTAAGAACAGTCGGCAAGTCAATCTCTTCTAGAATCTCTAATACTATACTGAAAAATGCCACCACAGGTTACTAATTGCTTTTGATTTATTGAAAGTCAGATTTATCTGGTGGGAGAGAGTGTTGCACAGTGTTTATGCCAAAATAGTTTTGGAGCAATGCCTTTTTCTGGTTAGTTTTAAACTGCCAAGCAAAACTAGTCGAAGATGGCAGTGCTTACCAAGTTCTAGCTGATTGGTACAATTGAAGCAAACACCTCAGGTAAATCAAAGTGAGGACAAATTGACTGTTCTTGTCTCTTGAGGGATAAGAAAACTGTCTGCATTTGCCTGTTATGTAGAGAGAGTGCAGCCATGGGGGAAACATGACTGTTCTATTGCCAAGCTGCGGTGGGCTCCACCCAGTTCAGACTTGCAGGTGGCTTTGTTTACACTGTGAGGGAAAAACAGCTTACTCAACCCTCAGTAATGGTGGATGCTCCTGCCCCCACCAAGCTTGAGCATCCGTGGTCAACTTCAGACTGCCCGGCTGGTAGTGAGAATTTCAAGCCAGTGGATCCTAGCTTGCTGGGCTCCGTGCGTGTGGGATCCGCTGAGCTAGACCACATGGCTCCCCGGCTTCAGCCCGCTTTCCAGGGGAGTGAACGGTTCTGTCTCGCTGGTATTCCAGGTACCACTGGAGTATGAAAAAACAAAAATAAAAACAAATCTCCTGCAGCAACGTGTCTGCCCAAAGGGCTACTGAGTTTTGTGCTTGAAACCCAGGACCCTGATGGTGTAGGCACCCAAGGGAATCTTCCGGTCTTCCAGTTGTGAAGACTGTGGGAAAAGCATAGTATCTGGGCCAGAATGCACTGCAGGGTTCTTCATGGCAGAGTTCCTCATGGCTTCCCTTAGCTAGGGGAGAGGGTTCCCCATCCCCTTGCACTTCCTAGGTGAGGCGACACCCTGCTTCTATTCGCCCTCTGTGGGCTGCACCCACTGTCTAGTCAGTCCCAATGAGATGAGCCGGGTACCTCGGTTGGAAATGCAGAAATCATCTGCCTTTTGCGTTGATCTAGCTGGTAGCTGCATACTGGAGCTGTTCCTATTTGGCCATCTTGCCCAGGTCCTGTTGTGTATTTTTATATAAAGGACAGTTGTATAACAAATTTAACTTGACTCTAAATATCATCCTAAATATAGTATTTTTAAAAAAGTAAATTATAATATGTGTTTGGAATAGAGGAGACCTATTATAAACTCATTAATAATTTGTTATCATAGCAAAAAAATTAAAAGATCTCAAATGTCTGTCTACAGTAATCACACTACGTTATACAATGCAGCAGTGAAAAAAATCAATGTATTTTGGCAATGTATTCATCAATATCAATATATACCACAAATGTATTGAAAAAAATAAAAGCTTGCAGAAATAGATATACAATTTTTATTAAAGTTCAAATATATTTTTTAAAGTACAAAATTTAAATAATATTGTTTAGAAAGAAAGAAAGAAGCCAACTGGGGAAAGAGTGATACAAATCCTTGAAGGATAATCTTCATCAGTTACTTCAACTAATCAGCCCAGTCCTTCATTCATAAATTTAAACAATCAAAGATCACTAAATATTTAAGGAATACCAACCATCTTAAAGTCACACACCCACATGAACTAGCAGAACTGACTTAAACAGAGATAATGTAAGGAATGAAATATCACATAACATTTTTTAAAATTAATACTCTCAGAAACACCTAAGCATTTACATAAACTGCTATTAAAAATTCATAGGCTTAAAAATTATTTTGTGGAAATTGAGAATATATTTGGCAAATCAACAAATTTGGTAGAAAGGATGAATACTAACATGAATATTGCTAAATAGTTGTAACTAATATAATAATAACTACAGACCTTTTCCCTTTCCTAGAAAAGGATGTTATAGATACTGATTAACTCTCAATGGTCATTGAAAATCTATATTTAAATGTAGAATTTAATATTATCACTGGTGAGTTGCCATTTTGATAGATACTGTTTCTACTTAGTGCTGTTATTGTATATGAAGTGTGTTTTGTCTTGCTGTGGACTTCAACTCCAAATCTCTCTAATTATCTATTATTGGGCTTAAAAGATTTTTCAGTATTTTCATATTTATTCTCACATAAACTTTCTTTCCTGAATATCTGGCTGGTCTCCTATGCAAGCACCCTAAAACATAACCCAGCCCATCTCTCTCTTTGTCCTTGGCTCCAAGGTCTAAACTAGATCCAAGGCTCCCAAAAGAGCTTCTTCCTGTTCCATTTCTCTTGAACTTCACCTACCCGCTGAATACTCCTTGACTCCAGCCTTCTTTTTACTTGTCTTGAGGGAAAGACAAGCTCCTGAAGAAGATCTCTGCTTGATCACATTTCTCATTAAGAACTTCCCTCTCTCCTATGCATTTATCATTGAGGCAACATGAACTTTTGAAGAATCTTCAACAAGGAAGTAACATGAGCCACATGGCTAATTAGAAAATTAACCATCTAAGAGTGGGTGGCAAATTCAGCTGTTACAGTAGTTCAGATGAAAATAATTGAAATTTGACCTAACACCATGGCAGTGTAGATGGAGAGAAGAGAGAATATAAGAAACAATTGAAAAGTAGAAGCAGGAATTGGTGAGCGATTGGATGTTTGAATTTTTTTTTTTTCTTTAACATTGACAGCTAGGAACATGATAGAATTTTTACCAAACATGGGAATAACATGGTCTGGAGAAAAGATGGTAGAGTTGCCTTCATCCAGGTAGAGATGTCCAGTCATTTGAATACATGAATCTGGATGTCAGGAGAGAATTCTGGATGGAGATATATGTTTAGGGCTTGTCAGTCTACGGGAGGTAGTGGAGGTCTGAGAGTAAATGGAAGGGAGAGGAAGTGGAGTGAGAGGAGACCCCCAATGACAGAGTGAAGTAAAGGAGAAAGGCGGGCAGGTGGGGTGGGAAAACCAGGGGAACTTGATTATAAAAAAGCCAAGAAAGGAGAGAAATCAAGGGAGAGGGAGAATGTTCAACAGTATTATTTACCCCTAAGAGGAAAATTTCCCTTGAAAAGTGAAGAGAAGCCAGAGCAATCAGGCAAGAAAAAGAAATAAAGGGCATTCAAATAGGAAAGGAGGAAGTCAAATTGTCTCTATTTGCAGATGACATGATTGTATATCTAGAAGACCCCATCTTCTCAGCCCCAAACCTCCTGAAACTGATAAGCAAGTTCAGCAAAGTCGCAGGATACAAAATAAATGTGCAAAAATCACATGCATTCCTATACACCAATAACAGACTTAAAGAGAGCCAAATCAAGAACAAACTTCCATTCACAATTGCCACAAAGAGAATAAAATACCTAGGAATACAACTAACAAGGAATGTAAAGGACCTCTTCAAGGAGAACTACAAGCCACTGCTCAACGAAATAAGAGAGGACACAAACAGATGGAGAAACATTCCATGTTCATGGTTAGGAGGAATCAGTATCATGAAAATGGCCATACTGCCCAAAGTAATTTACAGATTCATTGCTATCCCCATCAAGCTACCAATGACCTTCTTCGCAGAACTGGAAAAAACCACCTTAAACTTCATATGGAACCAAAAGAGAGCCCACATAGCCAAGTCAATTCTAAGCAAAAAGAACAAAGCAGGAGGCATCACACTACCAGACTTCAAACTATACTACAAGGCTACAGTAATCAAAACAGCATGGTACTGGTACCAAAACAGAGATATAGACCAATGGAACAGAACAGAGGTCTCGGAGGCAACACAACATATCTACAACCATCTGATCTTTGACAAACCAGACAAAAACAAGCAATGGGGAAAGGATTCCCTGTTCAATAAATGGTGTTGGGAAAGCTGGCTAGCCATGTGCAGAAAGCAGAAATTGGACCCCTTGCTGACACCTTACACTAAAATTAACTCCAGATGGATTAAAGACTTAAACATAAGACCTAACACCATAAAAACCCTAGAAGAAAATCTAGGCAAAACCATTCAGGACATAGGTGTAGGCAAGGACTTCATGACCAAAACACCAAAAGCATTGACAACAAAAGCCAAAATAGACAAATGGGACCTAATCAAACTCCAAAGCTTCTGCACAGCAAAAGAAACAATCATTAGAGTGAATCGGCAACCAACAGAATGGGAAAAAATTTTGCAGTTTACCCATCTGACAAAGGGCTGATATCCAGAATTTACAAAGAACTAAAACAGATTTACAAGAAAAAAACTAACAAGCCCATTCACAAGTGGGCAAAGGATATGAACAGACACTTTACAAAAGAAGACATACATGAGGCCAACAAACATATGAAAAAATGCTCATCATCACTGGTCATCAGAGAAATGCAAATCAAATCTACATTGAGATACCATCTCACGCCAGTTAGAATGGTGATCATTAAAAAATCTGGAGACAACAGATGCTGGAGAGGATGTGGAGAAATAGGAACACTTTTACACTGTTGGTGGGAGTGTAAATTAGTTCAACCATTGTGGAAGACAGTGTGGCGATTCCTCAAGGACCTAGAAATAGAAATTCCATTTGACCCAGCAATCCCATTACTGGGTATATATCCAAAGGATTACAAATCGTTCTACTATAAGGACACGTGCACACGAATGTTCATTGCAGCACTGTTTACAATAGCAAAGACCTGGAACCAACCCAAATGCCCATCGACGATAGACTGGATAGGGAAAATGTGGCACATATACACCATGGAATATTATGCAGCCATAAAAAACGATGAGTTTGGGTCCTTTGTAGGGCCATGGATGAACCTGGAAACCATCATTCTCAGCAAACTGACAGAAGAGCAGAAGATCAAACACCACATGTTCTCACTCATAGGCGGGTGTTGAACAATGAGAACACATGGACACAGGGAGGGGAGCACTACACACTGGGGTCAGTTGGGGGGAAATATGGGAGGGACGGTGGGGGGTGGGGAGCTGGGGAGAGATAGCAAG